TCAATATGTAATACAACAAGCATTGTTAATTTCCTACCACTTTGTTTGTAACTCTGTATTGTCTGTACTGTTCTTTTGCTATTTTGTAAAAGGTTGTCTGTCTGTTAATGTTTTCCTCCTTTTATTTTTAAAATAAATTTTTAAAAAGATGTGGTATTTTTATACAATGGAGTATTACTCAGCTATGAAAAAGATAAATTCTATAACAACCACTGTTAATTCATATTATTTTGTCTTGAAACCCTGTACCACTTTAAATGTTCTTGCTTTGGTTTGTTTATGTCTGTGACACTGGTATGCTTCTATTGTTCTATTTTTTGCTTGTTTGTGTCTCACTTACTACTCTTTAAAATAAAAAAGTACAAAAGAAAGATAAACTGGAGGCTTTTATAGGTAAATGGATGCAACTAGAGGCCATACTCATTAGTGAAATAAATCAGACCCACATGTGTAAACATAATATTGTCTCCTTAGCATAAGAACCTGAAAGAGTAAATAAAACCCAAAATGTACACTAGATAATATGAAAGGGAAAGCAGTTGCTCAAAGGAAGGAACTGCTGGGATGAGGAAAAGAAGAAAAAGAAAGAAGGCAAACACACACACACACACATATATATATACATAGAGAGAGAGAGAGAGAGAGAGAGAGAAAGAGAGAGAGAGAGAGAAAGATAGCTGGGATAACTACTGCTGATGTCTGGTGGTTTATTAAAAAGAACAGTTAATGCTTAATTTTTTTATATTTTGGCCAGTTATGCATGCTTATATCTGATAATCTGACCAAATGATTTGAAGACAACAATATGAAATATAACAACCATTGGTGAATGCCTTCTACCTTGTCTACTGAAACTCTGTATATCTCTAATGTTTTTTAATTATTATGTTTTTATTCTCTTTAATGGTTTGCTCAATCTTGCACTCTTACATCTGGTAATCTGAGCAACTTTGTTGAAGATAACAATATGTAATATAACAACCACTGTTAATTCCTATCATTTTGTCTTGAAACCCTGTATCATTTTTAATGTTCTTGCTTTGTTTTGTTTATGTCTGTGATGTTGGTAGGTTGCAATTATTCTTTTATTTACTATTCTCTTTAAAATTAAAAAAAGAGTAAATGTGATCCAAAGTGTACACTAGATACTGTAAAATGGGAAGAAATTTCAAAAGGAAAGAGAAACTGGTTTGTGAGAATGAGAAAAAAGAAGGAAGGGAAAAGTAAAGGAATATATATATATAAAAGAGATGGTTAAGATAGTTATCTTACTAATTTCTCTCAGTTCACTGAAAAGATAGGTTTGTGCTATTATTGTTTGGACAATTAAATGCTGATATCTTGTACTCCGAGTAACTGATTTGAAGATAACAATGTGCAATGTATTGATCGTTGTTACCCTCCTATCATACTGTTTTGGAATTTGGGGGCTTTTTGTCTCTTTTTCTTTACAATAAAAATTTAAAAATTAATTAATTAATTTCTACTTACTAACAACAATCAGAAATTGAATTATTTTAAATTTTTAAAAATTTAATGCTATTTCAATAGTGTTAAAAATATGAACTACTACCCAAAGATCCACAAATACTCCAAAAGATGTGCCATATTCATACAGTAACAATTATAAAACATGACAGAGAAATTAAATGTAACCCAAGTAAACAGACCACCTTGTTCATGGGTCAGAAGTCTCAATACTGTTATTGTTTGTCCAGTGCAGCTTCAATGAACATCCCACCAGACATTCTGCAGACCCTTAAATAGCCAAAACAACTTTGAAAAAAAAGAGTTGGACATCACTTGCTTTCAAGAGTTGTCAGAGGGACGGAAGAGCTAGCGAGTCACAGGGCGTAAAAGCCAGAAACGATTACAAGATTTTACGTGTGTGTAAAAATATGCCAAAACAAAACTCTCTGCTCTGTATAAGTAATACGCGCTAATGTTTAAAATCCTTATAAATCTAGAGTAACCAGTGTGGTGTGATACTGGCCTCATAACAGACAAAAAAAATCAACAGAACAAAACAGAGTCCAGAAAGAGACCGCACATATATGACAACAACACAACAGTGGAGAAAGGACAGACTTTCCAGGAGGTGATGCCAGAACAACTGTGTAACCTTAAGGAAAAAATACTGTGATCCATACGTTACAACACACACAAAAACTAACCCAAGTTGTATCACACATATAAGGATAAGATATGAAACTATAACAATATCTAAAAGAAAACAGAAGATCTTTGTGACTTTGGATTAGGTCAAGATTTCTTATCACAATTCATAAAAGAAAAAGATGATAAATTGGATCTCACAAAAATTTTTAAAACCTGTTCTGAAAAGATAAGCCACAGACTGGGAGAAAATATTGCACAGCATAATTCAAAGAGTCACCTGTATACAGATTTTATGAACAATACCCCAAACACACAAACTAATAGAAAAAAATAAGCAAAGGCTCTGAATATGACAACAAAGAATGCATGCATGGGTGGCAAATAAACACAGGAGAAGAAGTTCTACATCATTAACCACTAGGGAAAAGCAGAAGCAAAACCACCATGAGACACCTCCCATCAGAACAGCAAGAACACCAAATGCGGATGTGGACACGTGACAGCCGGAACGCCCGTGCACTGCTGGAGAACACCTAGAACGATTCCAATGCTGCGGAAAAAGTAAGTTAACCGTTCACCTGCCAATGATCCAGCAATTTCATCCCTACGATTCACTCCAAAGAAAACACTTCTGTACAAAGCCTTGTGGTCAAATGTTCACAGCAGCTTTATTTGTAATCGCCAAATCCTGGAGATAATCCCGATGCCCATGGACTGCTAAAAGACAAACCAACAGCGATACGTCCACATGATGCAAAAGTGCTCAGCGGTGAAAAGGAGTGGGCCGATGACAAAAGCAACGGTGCGGATGCACTGCGAAATCCCTGAAGTTACAGGAGAGGACACACAAACACAACCTGACCTCACTGGATAGATCGCCTGAAAACGCAAACTAACCCACAGTGACAGGAAGTAGACGGGTTGCTCCCGGAGATGGGGACGTGGCGGGGAAGAAGGAAGGATTACAAAGAGGCATAAAAACGTCTGTATTTGATGGAGCTGTTCATTATCTTGATTGTAGCAATGGTTGCATAGTTGTGTACATAACTCAAAACTCATCAAATTGCACACTTTAAATGTCTAATTTAAATATGTGGTATCGCTCAATAACCTTTTTTAAAAGCATAACCAGCATCCCTAAGCAGTGTAGATACGTATTAGATATGAACTAAGTAAAGTGCACTAGGATATGTACAGAAGTCAGGGGAGGTTAATTAATCTAAGAACTCTTGTCGCACCTACCTCGTCTGCTGGCTGTATTAACTTGCCCTCATGCCCAGGCTGGGGTGCTGAACCCAGTTCCGCTCTCTGCTGACTCGGTACGCTGTCCAGGTGAAGTGCGGGGTTCTCTCTAAACGAGCTTGCGATGGCATCGTCAACAACACCATTTCACAGTTAGTAAAGAGGATCTGTGTCTCACAGCGTTGTGAAGAGGGTAAAGAGAAAGCATAAGCACACCTGCTACAACCCAAGTCAAAAAGGGCCTTGGTTTTACCGTCTCTGCTCTTCAATTTTTCTCCGAAAGTAGCTCCTCAAACGCCAGCCGCACGGGTACTGCCTACTGCGCACTTCGGGGGGCCCAAGCCCGAGCCGCCTGTCCCTGAGGCCCCGCCCCAACTCGACCCCTACCCGACCCACAGGCCCCGCCCCTCCCCAGAGGCCCCGCCCGCCCCCTCACCGTTGCGGGGCCCCAGGTTCCTGCTCGCTCCTCACCGTTGCGGGGCCCCAGGTTCCTGCTCGCTCGCGCGCTGCCTCGTCGGCTTCCGCGCGGGTCCCCCTGGCGGGAGGAAACTCGTTGACCCACAATCCTGGGGTTAGGGGCGGGAACCCGGGGGACGCGGGGCGCGGAAGCCCTGGGGTCGCCTCGGAGCGGCGGGAACAGACAGGGAGGGCGGCGGCGCGGGCGGGCGCGGCGGACCTGAGCCGGGGGTCCCCGAGCCGAGCGGCGGGCGGGCTCCGGGCTTCCCGCATGGGCGCGGGGGGCGCGAGGTGCTGGGCAGGACGAGCGCAGGCTCCCTCCGGGCTGCGGGACTCAGGCCCATGCCGCTGTCGCCCGCCACCTCCCGGTTCCGTCGGCGCCTCCGTCCGCGGAGCGTCGGGTCTTGGCGCTGGGAGAGGGACGACCGCGACGAGCGCACGAGGGGCGGGGCAAACGGCGGCGAAGCGCGCGGGACCGGGCACGGGGAGGGAGGGGGCGCGGGACCGGGCACGGGGAGGGAGGGGGCGGCGGAGCGCGGGGACTCGGCACAGGGGGCTTGGCTCGGGAAGAGGGATCTGGTCTGCTCCGGACTCGGACCCACAGAACCTCGGGCACCTGTTGTCCTGAAACCAGAAACGAGCTCCTGGAGTGGTTGAAGCCCGCTCGGGCCCCTCCCAGGTGTCCCAAGCCAAGGTCGCCTGGAGAAAGTGACAGCTCACCATCCTCCCTCCTGCTGTGTCCCCCTGTCCCACCATCCGCACCCCTTACGGACGCGGTGCTCCCGAAGAACCTCACGGAAAGAGCCACATCTCCTCGGTTAGGGGCTGAGGGGTGACCCCAACCCCGGACCTCAGAATTGGCTGCACTCAGAGACAGGGTCTCCGAAGCAGCCGTTAGGGTAGAATGAGGTCACAGGGTCGGGGTCTTCATAGAGGGGTTTGGGTGCAAACTCCCCGTGGGGACGAGGTGGGGAGAAGCCAGCCCTCCCCTTGGCCTTCGGCACTGGAGCAGTGAGAGAACAGACTCCTGCGGTGCGGTAAGCAAGCAGGTCTTGGAGTGGAGAGGTTGGGGGGCCTGGCCTCAGGCCAGAGATGGTCTGGTCCTAGGGGGCTCCACTGGCCTCCCCGGGCACCTCTTTTTCCTGGATGCACCTGACCTAGTTTGCCACGTAAGCATCTGCTCCCCACTCCGCTCACCCAGCAAGATCTGCACCCTAACCCTTCCGGTTACACCCAAGCCGGAGCTTTTAGAGCCACAGAGGCGCCTGTTCAAATACAGCTTCCAGGGCCTGGCACCCAGGTCCAGGGGAGCCATGGCCACGCAGTCCTGGCTCTAGCGCCTTACCCGGACCCTTGCCCTCTTCCCTCTGTCCCACACACCATACAACTGGCCGCTGGCCTCAGCCCCTCCTGCCAGGACCTCCAGCTGTGGTACATGGCCTCCCAAGTCAGGCTAAAGGTGACAGCTGTGCACTCCTGAAGGGAAGGCTTCCTGGAACAAACGAGCGTTGGAAAGCCTTCAGGCCCGCTCTGGCACAGACCCCAGTGAGAAGCTACTGTGGCTTCACTCTCGTCCACAGAGGAACAGAAAGGGGCAGCAGCTTGCCCAGGAGCACACAGCATGCCAGAGCAGAGGCTGAGGAGGAGCCCAGGCCTCTGTGCCCCCAGCCCCCCACTCTCTTCTCAGTCTGCAGTGGGGGTCCTCTCCCTGCCTGCTTTCACCCTGCTCTCATGTGGCCCCAGCTGCTCCTGGCTAATGCTGAAATGGGCCCAGAGGGGCCCTGGGAAACTGGGAAACAGGGGAGTGAGGCAAGGGGCAGGGGGTGGAGGAGGACAGGCTTTCAAACAGATGGGCCCTCCCCAGGCCGAACACGTGTCCACCCCTCCTCACTGGCCCGGGAGCTGTAGGCCGTGAGGACAGCTCCAGGCCCCACCACCCCACCCACCTTAGTCGGCTGTAGAGCGTCGCAGCCCCAGGGGCAGCCATGGCCCCCGGGGAGAAGCTGGACCCAGTTCCTGACAGCTTTATCCTGCAGCCTCCCACCTTCTACCCGGTGAGCAGCCACCCAGCCCGGAGCCTCCTGGAACCCCGGACTCCCCACTTCCAGATAGCTGGGGGTGGCAGGAGCTTGGTCTCGGACCTGGGGAAGAGGCTGCCCTCCGCCTGCTGCTCCTCTCGTTCCTTTGTTTGGTGTCCAGAGACTTCCAGCAGACAGCCCTCTAAGCACTCCAGTCGCCTTCCTCGCTTGGCAGCCTCTTCCCAGAGCCCCCTGCCCGCCCCACTACACCCCACTTGCCAGGAGGTGGGAAGCGGGACCAGGGGCTGCTGAGGCAGCTAAGCAGCCTGTTGTGATGGGAGGGCCCTGGCCCCCTGTCCTGCGCAGGTGCCCCAGGAGCCAGCAGGTCCCAGGCTCTGTGCTGCACCAGCTACAAGCTGCAGCCTAGAGGCAAGCACGGCGGGGGGTGTCCTTCTAGGTGGCTTTCACGTCAGAAGGCTGTGGGCTTTGGAAAGCAACATGTGCGGCCTGATCTTGGGGTGCCTCCAGAGTGCTCTGCAGAGCCTCGGCTTTGAGGGAGATACCAGGGCCCAGTGAGTGAGTGCTCAGGCCGCCCCAGGAGGCAAGCGTAGCGCAGGCACTGAGTGGACAGTGCTCGAGAGGACATGGGGGCAGGAAGAGGACAGCCCCAGAGCCACTGGGGGTCAGAGTTAGGGTGAGGGGACTGGAACCTGTGCAGTGTATTTTAGGAAGGGCTAGGGTTAGATTAGCAGCTCCCATGGGAATGACAGCCCCGGAAGACAGCCAGGCCATTTTCAGGGTCCCTCCTGGAACCTGTCCCAACCTGTCATTCTTGTTGGCTCTCAGTCCCAGACCCTAGCCATTAAATAGTCTCCAGGGAGCCTCAAAGCCAGGCTCCTGGGGACCAGGATGGCTAGACTAGGGACACATCAGCCATGGCACCCCAGGCTGGAGGAGGGAACTGGGTGGTGCTATGATGGCCGCAGAGTAGCCTTGAAGCGTCCCTGTCCAAGAGAAGGGAGGAAGTAGAAGAGAACGTATCAGAGGAGGTTGACTCTTCCCAGTAAGGACATTTCCTATTTGGAGTGGGAAAACCAACGTCTTCTTCCCTCCCCACTGCCCAGGCTCCAGGCCCTGGCCTTTCCTCCAACCACGCATATGGCTTCCTCCCCTTGCTCAGGTGGTTCCGTATATCACAACCATTTTTGGAGGTCTGCACGCAGGCAAGATGGTCGTGCTTCAGGGAGCAGTCCCCAGAGATGCACGCAGGTACAGGCAGAGCTTGGGCTGGAGCTGGAACTCCCCACCTCAGCAGCCTCTGTGGGCCCTGACCCGGACAGTGCAGGTTTCAGGTGGACTTCCAGTGCGGCTGCAGCCTGGACCCGCGGCCAGACATCGCCATCCACTTCAACCCTCGCTTCCACACCACCAGACCCCACGTCATCTGCAACACCTTGCATGCAGGACACTGGCAGATGGAGGCCCGGTGGCCTGGGCTGGCCCTGCAGAGAGGGGCCAGCTTCCTCATTCTCTTCCTCTTTGGGAATGAGGCGGTGAAGGTGAGCAAGAGGATGGGCCCCAAGAGCTGTGTCCTTCTACCCTCCTTCCCCTGGCCATCGCCCTCCACCATGTGCAGTGGCATTGTGGGGAGAGGGTCGAGGAGCCACCACACCGTCCAGGCCACCTTGGGCCACTGCTGTGCTGCAGAACGCACTTAGGGAATGCTTGCTGGATACCAGGTACCTCTACACCCTTATCTTGGCGGTGGGGGGGGGGGGATGGACCCAGACCCCAGTGCACACATGCCAGGTAAGTGCTGTCACTGATTTGCACCTGGCCCTCTGAGCCACTGGCCCACAACCCCAGGATGGATGCCTTTATGATAACCATCTGACAGTGGCAGCAGCAAAGGACACGGCTCGGGCCCCTCAGGAACTCCTGCCAGAAAGATGGCAGGATCTCCAGACAGCCCCAGGCCAAGCACTGGACAGGGAAGGACTGAGGGTAGGAGTCACCACCCAGGCTCTCCAGCAGACAGCCCTTTCCTCCCTGTCATGCTGAGGAGAAGACTGCTCTCCGGGGCAGAGAGGGAAGCAGGTCCTGCCTTTCAGAGGTGGCGTGAGGTCATGTGGCTGCCTTGCAGGTGAGCGTTAATGGACAGCACTTCCTCCACTACCGCTACCGGCTCCCGTTGTCTCGGGTGGACACCCTGGGCATATTTGGGGACATCTCAGTGCAGGCTGTTGGATTCCTGAACATCAGCGTGAGTTCCCTTGGGGCCAAGGCCTGTGACTTCCTGACACCCAGATGAGTGTAGGACCCACTCCCCTCCATAGACCAAGAGGCAGAGGATGCCAGGAAACCTGTGACAGGAAGCCCACAGTGTCAAGTGTGCGAGGGATGAGGGGAGAGAAGGTGCCAGTGGTCAGGTGGGGAGCCATAGGCAGGGTCTGTTCTGGCAGCCAGGTTGGTTTTAGGAGGAGCGGTGGTGGGGAAGCTAAAAGCTCAGCACAGCAGTCTGAGCAGGCTGCAGTGGGCTGCTGCCTCGTTCCACTGATGAACTTATTCAAAGCCCAGACCTCGGGGCCTGCCACCAGCCGCTCTGACACGACAAGCCCGAAGCGGGACTGGGAACTGCACTTCAGGCAGGTTTAGGAGCCACCACCCAGCTGTAGGAAGCAGGCGTGAGCAGGGGGCTGGGAGCTCAAATGGGTGGCCTGGGGGCCTGCAGGCTCCTGGATGTTGCGTTCTCTTTCTGAACAGCCATTTGCAGAAGGTAGCAGAGAGTACCCGGCTGGACACGTGAGTCTGGGGTGTGGCTGGCCCTGCAGATGGACAGAGCTGACCTGTTGCTCTCACTGCACAGGCCCCGCCGCCCTTCCTTCCCTGTGGTTGCAGCTTCAGGTGGGACCTAGACTTGCCCACCTCTTCAGGGCCACCCAGGAAGGTGAACAGTGGCAGGACCTAGAGGGACCAGTGCCCACAATTCCCAGCAGGAGATCCTTTTCAGTGGGAACCCTCTGTCTGCCCAGCCACCACGCCAGGGGTGGACCTCGCAGGACAGAGGGTGTTGGGGCCCCTGAGCCTGTTCATAGTACAGTTCTTTCCCATTGCCCCAGAGCTGGGACTCCAGATTCAAGAGACCCCTCTGGGGCTCCCAAGACACATGCTGCCATGAGAGACAAAAGCCCCAGGGTCCCCGGTGAGTAGGATGACTGCCAGGGCTCCCTTCTTAGGACAAACACCAATGGCTTCTGCGCCCCTCTTTCCCCACAGCCCCTCCTGCTTCAGAGTCCTGAGCTGGTAAGTGACCCCACAAGTCCCCTAGAGGTGTGGTCCCATCTCAGGTCCCTCAGAGCGGGGGAAACCGCTAGAATGTTGGTGTCCTGTGGGGACCAGCACCCTCAGCTTCAGTTGCCCTTCTTGTGGGCAAGCTGAGCTGCTCCAGGCAAAAGTTTCAGCTTCATTTTCCCTCAGCTCCATCGATGCTACAGTCAGATACTAGATGTTTCCCAAGTCAGGCTCTAGGGCGGAGAGTCAGGCTGGCCTCAGCCCCAGCCTGTGGTTCAAAGGCGAAGGCGGGATGAGCCACCACATGGCTGTGACAGCCCCGGGTGCTCAGGCCCCGGTGCAAGTTCACCCCGGAGGAGCCCAGGCTGCATCCCACAGGCCTGCAGTAGGCGCCACGGGGTGTGGTGCTGTCTCCAGTGGACAGAACCTGCTGCCCCACCTCTCCCCAACCCCGGAGGAGCTCGGAAGCTGCTCCTGGCAGTGGAGACCTTCCTAAGTGTCTGGGGTCACTGTCCCCAATATCTCCCTGTCCTTCAGGAGCTTCCCTGTTCACGCACCCTTCCTCAAGGACTCTGGCCTGGACAGGTCATCATAGTTCGGGGACTGGTCTTGCAAGAGCCAAAGGAGTAAGTATCCCACCAAGCATCACCTCTTGTAGTTTCCCATCACCACCACATAATCCCCTTCCACTGCGAGAAAACAGTGCCGAGATCAGTAAGTCGTCCACGGTCGTAGAGCCCCTAAAAGTCAGGCTGGTACGGGGCCCCGTCGCTGTCTTAAGGCAGCATCTCCCGTAGTGGTCCCTCTGTCGGACAGCCGAGGACAGGAAAAGGGCTCACAGGCCCAGGCTGAGGCCCAGGGAGAGCACACGGCCTCTCACGGAGACACGAGACTTGATTTAAGTGACTCAGCAGAGCCAGAGCCCCGACACCCTTGAAAAGTGCTGCTGCCTGGCTCTTCCTCCAGGGGGTGCTCAGACCCAGGTGAGTGGTGCAAATCTAGCTGCACCAATGCCTGGATCTGAGCGCCCCCTGGAGGAAGAGCCAGCCCAACCCCCTGCCTGGAGGAAAGGCCTTTTCCAAGCCAGATTGCCCGTGTTGTCACCTGCTCTGGTCACCTGTTACCTTTGTAACCCGGGGCAGTGATGTTTCTGTCTGTGCCCCAAGCTCCTTATCAGTCAGGGGTTAGTAATGATATCAGCTTTCAATGGTGCTCAGAATAGTCAGCTACACAGGTGATAGCAGAAGTAGCTCGTGGGCAGGGGGTGGTTGAGAGGGCAGCACCTGTGTGCTCCCTGCTTTGCCACTGTCTTGTTTTGAGTTGCTAACCTCACCAGACCTTTGCCCCTCAGCTCCTGACCATGGGTGAGCTCCGAGGCACCAGGCTGGAACGCAGACTCCCAGGGTCAGGGTTCTCCTGGTGTCTCCTCCTCCACTGTGTGATTGGGCAAGGCAGCTGAGAGAGGAGAAAGACAGTCCCAAGCTGGTGGGGGAAGGAGCGAACACCTCCCACTCCAAACCTGGGTGGCCTGAGACCAGGCCCTCATCCCAGCTCAAGGTCCCTTGGTGCATGTTAGTGACAGCAGCCGTGAATGCACAGGCTGCAGTGGAAAGACAGTCCCAGGCCCTGTCGTGCCAGGTCTTCCAGTTATCTTTAAAGAAAAATCAAAAGCCATCTTTTATTTAAACTCAGCCTTTGAATGTGGCGTTCATTTAAAACAGAAGACTGTGGCAGACCAGGGAGAAGGTGCCCAAAGACCTGCTCAGCTGAGGTCACAGACATCCATCAGGCTTAGCCCACACGTGGCACCAGCAGGCCTATGGCAAACACTAGGCTGCTGCTGTTTCTAAAACAGCTGATGGCTTGAGCTGGACAGAGGGAGCAAGTGTAGGACCCTGATTCCTTTCTGGTGAATATGTTATTTCCTAAATTACAGATGACAAAACAGGTAGAGAGACTGCATTAATTTCCTGAGGTCCCAAAAAGTGGCAAAGCCAACTCTAACCACTGAGATTTCTGCAAATTAAGACAACACGTGGTGCTGAGTTACACTCAACACATATTAGCGGCTACTTTCATTGCCACAGTTATCTTCATTTTCAGGAGGAGAGACTGAGGCTCCCACGAGGAGATGCCCCGCCCCTATGACCTCTCAGTGAGCAGAGGACAACTCCAGGGCTCAGTCTCAGCTCTAAGCCATTCTTTCTGCTCCCCTGTGAGGCATCCAGGCATTCGGTCCTGAGCAGTCCCAGCACTTAGCCCTGGGACCACCCCCAGTCCTTGCCCAGGTACCCAGTGTTCTCGGGGTGGAGTAGGCCAACTCCCTGTTCTGCCCACTTCCTACAGCTTCACACTGAGCCTGAGGGACGAGGCTGCCCGCACACCTGTGATGCTCAGGGCCTCCTTTGCAGACCGAACACTGGCCTGGGTCTCTCCCTGGGGACGCAAGACACTGATCTTGGCACCCTTCCTCTTTCACCCCCAGCGATTCTTCGAGGTGGGTCAGAGCTGCATGATCACATCCTTTGGGAAGGATCCCAGAGCTGAATTCCATAATGACCTGGAGTGGGTGGACAGGGTGGATGCCCAGGGCTGGAAGCCAACAGAAGAACATTCGAGTCACTGGCACTCGGCCCCCTGTGCCAGTGCCAGGGACCCCAAGCCTGAGACCAGGCACAGAGAGTGCAAGCAGGGACCCAAGCATTGCTTTGGTGAAAGCTCCCCAAGTGATTCAAGTGCACAGCCAGGATGGAAACCACTCTACTGACAGCAAGCACCCCAGTGCAGCTGGCAAAATGGGGCAAGGCCAGGAAGAACCTGGTCAGTGTCCACAGTGAGCTAGTGACACATGCGCCTGCAGGCCATCTGCCCGTCCTCCAGGCAGGGGTCTGTGTGGACATCTTTAATCCATGTTGCCCCTTGCTAGGTGCTGCTCCTATGCCAGGAGGGGGGGCTGAAGCTGGCACTCAATGGGCAGGGCCTGGGCGCCATGAGCGTGGGCCAGGAGGTGCTGGAGAGACTGCGGGAGCTCCAGGTCAGAGGAAACGTCCAGCTGTACTGTGTCCACTGCTGAGGAGCTCAAAGTGGTCTGGCCAGAAGAGGAAGCCAGCCTGCACGAGGGCCTCGAAATGTGGTACCCACCTGCTACCACCATACAGACCTCATTCACCCCTGTGGCTGCATCCTGGTCTGCACCGTGTGAGACGGCTCCAACACTGCAAGTCCCCCACCCAGAGCTGGGGTTTGCTTCGGCTTCCTTCAGGGCCGCACTGTGCCCAGGGGCCAGGCTGTGGAGCCTAGCGAAGATTCTCAGAAGTACAGGGGCCTCAAAAACCTGGACATTTACTCCATTGCTACCCAGAAGCTCAGGAGAGACTGGCCCAGGCCAGCAGGGCACTTGCCTCCCCAGCACTCAGACTCCATCTTTGCCATCTGTCCTTCCCAGGCCCCAGTAGCAGCAGTTGCACTGGAGTTTGAGATCTCGTGAGTCCAGGCTGGGCCTAACACACTACTCACACCCATCCGTCAGCCGGCTTCTATCCGTGACACAGGCTGAAGCTGCATGTAGGGCTTCTCCAGAGCAAGTCGCAGGGCCACCATTACATAGTAACAGCAGGCGGGAGAGGCGGAGGGAGAGGGAGGCCTGCCCTTCCCTGCGGGGACAACAGCACAGGCACACAGCCAGTCTGCATTCCTCCACCGGCCACGCAGGCGTCAGGGGGCCCCTAGGTTACCGTGCAGCCCAGGTGTGTCATGGCCTGTGCCACTCCGGCTCATGTGGGTTCCCTCTGTGATGTCCACACAATGATGGAATTGCCAAACAACGCATTTCTAGATCTTATCCATCGTGGAGTGACACATAAGGGAGCACTCAGAGAAACTGAACCTATGTGATGGAATAGCTGGAATGAGTATTTTTGTAACTATGTTCTACAAGAAGAGAGCAATAGCCTTCGCTCATCCATTTACCAAGATTGATCTATCACAGGGAGAATCTTAGTAAATTCCCTGGAGCAGAGATTTCAAAGCAAACCCTCAGCATAGCCAAGGGAACCTGGGCATCAGTGAGAGTGGTGACCACCTGGAAACCAAGGCGCTGGGCTCTGGACAGGATCTGGGCCAAGGAGGAGCCAACACACACTGGCTGAGTCAGGAACTGCCGACCCAAGGTCAGAGCAAAGGGAAGGCTACAAGCAGCTCCGCCCTGGCGCCATTGCCGAGCTGGGAGCAAAGTCTGTGCTGCTGCTGCTGAGTGTGTACACACTTAGGACTGGTGTGCTGTACAGAAAAGAATTTAACAGACCAGACCTAAGGCAGCAGCTCTTAGAAATCCCTGCATAGAAGGCTGGCTTTGGCCTCCTGGAAACACGACTGGGCAGTTCCCACACTGACACAGAATTTGCCCTAAATGATAGAGTGACTCGCTGTGCCAAGGTCAGGGTGACAGTGTGGCCCATGCTGAGTGCCAGCCTTCCTTATGGGAGTCCAGCATCTCTGTAAATGCTAGGCAGAGAGCACCTACGCCACTCACCTTCAACAAAAACTCCAGGCTTCTGATGCAGGCGACACCTCTGCAACACACTCACACACGTCGTCATGACTCCCGAGGGAGGAGCTGGCAGGTCCTGTGTGTGACCATAGTGAGGACTCTCAGAGGCCTGCACCTGGCTTCCTCTGGACACTGCCCCTTGGACCTTTCCCTTTGCTGATTTTGCTTTGTATCCTTTGCCCTAATAAATCTTAGCTGTGAGTCTATTTGCTGGTCTGGAACTGGTCTCAGGCACCCTCAAAACGTGTCTTCTTGTAGATGGACTCTTGACATTAGGTGAAGTCCTTTATCCTTTTACTCTGAAGTTACCTTGGCCAATGTTAATGGAACCACTGGAGCGTTCTCTGATTTTGTTTGCATCTACATGCATCTTTTTCTATCCTTCTACTTTTAACCTCTCTACACCTGTACTTTTAACCTATTTATATCTATTAACCTTTCACAATGAGTCCCCAAGTTATGAACGAGTTCCATTCCAGGAGAACGTACATAAGTCAGGTTTGTTCATAAATCCAACAAAGTAAGTCTACTTACCTTCGACACAAACATATGACATAAAGCGCAAAAAACCAAACACATACACCAAAATAGTGTAAATAAACTAATTTTACCTTTACAGTCGAAAATGATGGTGCAGGGCAGCACAACCAGCATCTAGAGGGTTGTCTACATGGAGGAGGGAAGACGGGGCGGGGGGCATTCCTGCTTCCCACATGGCACACAGCAGCACGGCTGACAATGTCCAGCAGATTTTCACAGTTTGTTCACATCTACAGATGTTCGTAACACGAGGTCTGTTCATACCTGTGAAAGTTTGCAGCTCACATGTTTGTAAGTGGGAGACTCACTGTACATCTAACCCACCCGCTTGAATGCACTGTCATGTATGTAGCATGTAGTGAAGTCACACTTTCAGTTTCCAGTTTTAGTCAACATCACACTGGATGTTGCACCTAGAGCAGTTGGGTAAGAAAAAAGGCATCCAAATTAAAAAGGGAAAATTGAAACTATCTACTTGCAGATCACAAGATCTTATATATAAAAAACCCTAAATGAGCCACAGAAAAAGAAGCACTAATAAATAAAAACTGATAGAACTAATACATGCATTCAGTAAAGTAGTATACTACAAAACTCAAAAATCAGTATAGCGATCTATCAAAAAAATCAAGAAAATGACCCCATTAATGATAGCACTAAAAAGAATAAAATTCTTAGGAATAAATTCAACCAAGAAATTGAAAATCAGTACAATGAAAACTAAAAACACCAGTGAAAGAAATTTTAAAAGACACAAAGAATTAAAAACATATTTAATACTCACAGATTAGAAAAATATTGCTAAAATTCCCACTCCAGCCAAAGCAACATATAGATTAAATGCAACACCTGTCAAAATCCCAGCAGCACTAGGCATGGTGGCGCACGCCTGTAATCCCAGCACTCGGGAGGCTGAGGCAGGAGGACCATTGCAAGTTTGAGACCGGCCTTGGCTGCAAAGTGAGCTCAAGTTCAGCCTGAACTGCATAGCGAGACTCTGTCTCAAAAATACCAGAAAAAAAAAAATCCCAGTAGCATTCTTCCTTAAAACAGAAAAAAAAAAATGTTAAAACTTGTACAAACTACAAAACACCCTTCAGAGAGACAAAGCCCTCTTGACACCCTGAGGGGTACAAAAGTGGCCCTTCACACTGGCTGATTCCAAGCATACATGGTGAAGGGTTTCCCACAAGAACACCAACCAGACACAGCGGAAAAGAAATAGTTCATCGATAAATGGTGCTATCCACCTGCAAAGGAATGAATTGAACCCTTGTCATATGCCGTACACAAAAATCAACTTGAAATAAGTTAAAGACCTAAATGCAAGACCTGAAACTGTAAAGCACCTAGAAGAAAACATAAGGGGAAATGTGTTGATTTCTAAATCGTTGCTAAAATGTGCTTTGGCAAAAATTTTTCAGAAACCACAGTGAAAGCTCAGGTTTAATCCTGGATAGTTTCTTCACTTCATATTCTACATAAGCATTTATCTGTCCACTGATTGAAGAGTTTTTTTGTTTTGTTTTTGTGTTTGTTTTGTTCTGTTTTGTTTGTTTTTGAGACCGGGTCTTGCTCTATAGTCCAGGCTGGTCTTGAACTCACTATGTAACATAAACTGGTCTCAAACTTGAGACAATTCTCCTGCCTCAGCATCCCAAATGCTGGGATTACAGGCGTGTGCCACCATACCAGGCCAAGGTTTTTTTTTTTAAGTACAAATATATTTAGAATAAAAGCAATCCAACATTAAAAAATCAAAGCATAATATGTACAGCATAATAGATTTAGAAACTAGTAATACAGAGAGCTACAAAATGAAAGCTGAAAGCCTCTCTCTACCCTATCAACTGCTGCCTTTCCCTAGGAATAACCATTACTGTGTTGACTGAAGATTCCTTCTACAAATAAAAGGGTGTGCATATGTGTAGCAAATCATATTATACGAAAAATGAATAAATAGTGTTCAAATTTAAATGTCAAAGGAGAGCAATGCAAAACAATCATAATAAAATTAATTCACAATATCAAAGTTGCCTGTAAATCAAGAAAGTACAGATACATTGTGTTTGGATCTAGGAGGTTCCGTGCTCAGCGGTGGAGCTTCCGCAGCTGAGCGGCAGTTGGGAGGTGGGGCCTGCTGGGAAGAGGGTGAGGTGTGAACTAAAAAGTGCACAGTCCCTCCCTGGCTCCACCCTGCTCACTCTACTTCCTGGTAGCCGTGGTTCAACAGCTGTCCTCCTGCACTCCTGTGCCATGGCATTTCTGCCTTGAAGCCAGCCAGCCATGGCCTGAACTCCTGAAACCCTGAGCCAAGTTAGAGCTCTCCTTTAGATTGTGGGAATTGTGTCTCAGCAATGAGGAGAGTGACTGAGACAAGATAACTCATTCTGAGTGGGCGTGGATATAAAGATTCGTTTAGTAGAAAAATAAGGTACAAATGCAGTGAACATAAACAGATGCTTAATTTAGAAGTAGTCGAAGAAATGCAACTGGAAAAAGGGGGCCCCATTGTTTACCACTTTACAAGAATTAATGATGTTGGGGACCTTGTCTTTCTCATAGAAAAGCCCTCTTTTCCTACTTCCACATCCCTTCCCACTCCCTGCCTACTCCAGGGTGGGCTAGATGCAGCTGCACCTGATCTCCATAGGGCTGCTTTAATCTGCTGGTTAAAATAAAATATTCCCAAAACTTACGTGTGAAATTTTTGCATTATAACACTATTAAAATCACTAGACTAGGGGCTGGGGATTTAGCTCAGAGGCAAAGCGCCTGCCTGGCAAGCACAAGGTCATGAGTTCGGTTCCCGGTACCAGAGAAAAACCCAAAAAAAAAAAAAAAAATCACTAGACTAATATTAACCCTTTAATTGCTTTGTCTTTAAAGTATGTGAATAAATAATGTTTCAAAATGTTGTTTTCTCTCTAATTGTGTTTTCCCTCTATTGCAGGTGTGGATAGAATTAATTCTCAACCAATGAAAAGGCAAATTAGATGTAATCATTTCTATTTGTTTTTCTCTCAGCATTGGTTTTCAAGTTGCTTGAGACATCTGGATATGTGCTATGTGAGGTTCATTTCAGACAATTTTGGTGAAGATCTAGTTAAATGATCTCGAAATGAATTTGCAAAAGTACTGTCATTATCAGTCTCTTTATTAACATGTATTTCAACATCAATTTCTCCAGTGCTTTCTGTACTCGACCAGCAGTCAATTAAGTGTACTAGTTAAACAATGTACAATTAGAAATAAACAAATTAAAATTCCAAACAATCCAAATCATCACCACTGCGGGCAGTTCCACCCGGTGAGAAACCCGTGTGACCCTGAGCACTCATCTGATCTTGATGAACTGCTCTGCTTTCTCCACATGAGCTTTTTGTTTCATTCTAAAGAAACTAATATTTTCCAATTATGTGATTAACTTGGAAAGGGGAGAAATGAAACAGGTTTCCAAATTTAGACAGGACATGGAGCTGGTCTGTGCTACTGCCATCTTTCCCCAAGTGTAGACGTCACAGAGGAGGCTCCTGGGTGAACTGCACCAGACCCTCTGGGCAGCTTTGAGGAGGCACAGACGTCAGGATCACGGCATGTGGAAGGACAGCAGCCACACAGGAATCAGCCATGCCCACGAAGACATCCAAGCACGTGTTCCTTGGGGCGATCTTGCTCCTGACACCTTTGTCTTCTATTAAAGTGAGAGTCACATCACAGAAGATTAAATATGTATGATTCCGTGGCATGTAGTTCATTCATAATAATTTGTAGCCATTTCTTCCGCTTCCAAAACACTTCACCATCCCGAAAGGATTGCACCCCATTTCCTCTCCCTCGGTCATGAACCTGTCCTCTGAGTCTACGAATTTATCTGCTGCAGGTATCTCACATGAATGGAATCATACAGTATGTGAACTTTGTGTATGGCTTCTATCACTCAGCAAAATGTTTTCAGGGTTAATCCGTGTTGCAGTGCTGATACTCTTTCTGTTTCTATTTTGTTGTGTTTTGCTGCCTGCATAAAAATCTACTACATGGATATACCACATTTTATTTATGTGTTCACCCACTGATAGATACTTGGATTGTTGCTACCCTTTAGCTACTGTAAATAGTACTTTTATGAACATTTCTGTAGGTCTTTTAAAAAACATGGTGGGCTGGCTGCACATGGTAGCACACACCTGTAATCCCAGCACTCGGGAGGCTGAGGCAGGAGGATCGTTGCAAGTTCAAGACCAGCCTGGGCTACAAAGTGAGCTCAAGGCCAGATTGAACAGCATAGTGAGACCCTGTCTCAAAAAGACAAAAAAAAAAAACCATGATGGGACAAAGAAATATATAAAGACCTAATGATTTCATGTAAAGAAGAAAAACTATCTTTATTCATTTTCAGCATGAAATATATTAGAAAAATCTATAGAAAAACTGCCAGAACTTGTAAGTAAATTTACTACACTCTTTTTTTGGTTGGTTGGTTGGTTGGTTGATTTGTTCAGACAGGGTCTTGCTATGCAGTTCATGCTGGCTCTGAACTCACTTTTGTAGCCCAGGCTGGCCACAAACTCACAGCAATCCTCCTGCTTCAGCCTCTGAGTGCTGGGATTACAAGGGTACAGGGCTCCAGCTTAATTTACTACACTCTTATGTAACTAC